TATTCTAGCAATACCACGGCGGGGGGACACCAGAAATGGGCTTCACACATTGTACCCATGGGGAGAATCGAACCCTGGTCTTCGGCGTGACGAACGAACGCTTTAACCACTAGCCTACCCCACCACCCTTCTCAGCGTTGACTCAGCACACCCAAAAACCTTAAACCGATTGCCACAAAAGTACATCCTCTGAAAGCGTAATAACTAATTTATTTGAACAGTTGCATATCACTTGCACGAGAAAATAAATCACCAAATTCCCGGCAGATTGTCTGCGACTCGGGAGGAAATGCTCCAGTTCTACGGCTGTTAATGTTTACTTCGACACGTAATATTCCTTCGGGACCAATATACTTCACTCGTTAGTGTCCCTTTAAATGAGCATAGATCAGTATAAATTTTCACCTTGGAAATCAAGTGCACTTTTGGTAAATTATGGAAAGAGAACCAGAGTCGCTTTGGGACAATAAGAAATGAGTTGTACCGGTTAGCGTGTATAGGAGCGGCTGAAGAGTCGAAAAAACATGACAGATCGGAATTCGGTCGTTCTGATGGCTCTATTTACATGAAAAAGATAACGAGAAACTCCAGATGCTTGTGATAAGCAGTGATGTGACTGTAGAGGTTTTTAATTCAGTTGACTAAGGTTCGAGCACCCGTGGTGAAAATGAATGTTTGACGGGCCAAATGATTAATATGATTTATGTCGATTTCAAGTAGTGATTTTATAATGGACGATTCGGATCTGTCAATCTTAATTACATTGTATTGCATTACATGATTACATTTTTTTAAATTTTGGGTTGACATCGCTTCTAACAGGATGCCATTTACATCAAGCCAAATCAGCCCAGTGCTTATTAAGTTTGGTTTAATCCCATTATTTCATTATGTGCATGTGTATTAATACTGACAAACTTTATGGATAACAACTACTTTATTTCGTGAGTGCGAAGTTCCGATACAAACTCTTCTACTGTTGTCAAGCTGGAATGACATAATGTTCGTCAGCATTGTACTTCCCAGCTTCAAAAATGCCACTCAAAGATGTTAAGTATATCGACAGTGGAGAAGACCCGAAAGAACGCGGGTCCTGTACGTTCGACTGACTGACTGACTTTGTTTGGTTTTACGCCGCTTTTAGCAATATTCCTGCAACATCACGGTGGGGGACACCAGAAATGGGCTTCACACATTGTGCCCATGTGGGGATTCGAACCCGGGTCTTCGGCGTGACGAGCCAACGCTTTAACCATTAGGCTACCCCACCGCCCCCTGTACGTTCGAAGCACTGGTGCAACCAATTAAAAAGGTTTGGTGCTGCAAGGCTATAATCAAGGCGAATCTTGAGCTGTGAACATAGGGTGTGGTGGGGTGGGGAGGGGAGGAGGGAAGCACGATGTCGTAGACGAGTCCCAATATTGTGATACTCACCACCGACTGTCCAAGAATAAGTAGCATCTCGAATTTGGTTTTCGAACTCTCGATGAACAGATTCTGGCGCCATATACATGACTGATCTCTCACGTCGAATGGAGGTGTGTGAGACCATATGGCGATCCGTGTAAAAGGTAATAATAAAAAACAACACAGAAACGGCGTTTATGAACATAATGTAAAGGAAACCGTTTTCATTATTCACCCTCTCTGCTATGAATCCTAAATTATGTACCATGCAGTTTTATCACAGCACACCTATTCTAGAAACACTATTTGGAGCCAGTCGGTTTTAAGGTGTAAACCATGAATGGTGCGTCAATGAGAACAGACAACCAACAAACAACGTCGAGTCTTAATGTAAGGGGCTGTTATTGGGAACACTTAATTTTCTCCAAAGCTTTTTTCATTGTGATGATCTGTTTTTCATCGTAAACACAATAAAGACAAGCTTATAATGAAACCTCAATCCCCTATCGGGACCTTTGAATTGAAGCCAAACCGGCCTTCAACAGAAATTGTATCGACATTTTACTGAAAATCCTTTTTGTATGTTTCTCAGTTTCCGTCTTGTGTAAAGTAAACTAAATCTAAATTTTATGAAAAACATAATTGAATAGGGGCGGTGGGGTAGCCTAATGGTTCAAGCGTTGGCTCGTCACGCCGAAGACCCGGGTTCGAATCCCCACATGGGTACAATGTGTGAAGCCCATTTCTGGTGTCCCCCCGCCGTGATGTTGCTGGAATGTTGCTAAAAGCGGCGTAAAACCAAACTCAGTAAGTCATAATTGAATATCTACAAGACGAACATATTATCTGAGATTCAAAAACTCAGTGCACCGGAACCTATCCAAGTCGTCACAGTTGTTACTCAAAATGGTATCTTCACTTCGCGTGATATACGTATTATTGAACTTTTCACTTGACAGCAAATAACAACATCAACTCCCTTTGAACAAATCCCGATAAGCCAAATTATTGTCGGTGATAGAGATCATGAGCACGGCCTAATGTTAGGAAGGATATGATACACTCAACAAATGTTCAATTAAAACTTAACTAAATATACATCAATACACGGAACGCTTCTGGTACATGTTATCATATATGCTGTCTAAAAATAGAATAGACGATAAGCAAACTGGATCAAAGTAACCGAGCTTAAATGTTGTTTCAATTCAAAGTGGTGTTTAATATCCAAGTGGCGGATACAGCTTTTCGAGAAAGGGAGGTTTGCACAGGTCATTTTCACCCGTTTTCACGAGACTTTCAATGGTCATTTAATAAACTTTCAGGTGGGGTGTGTGGGGGGAGGGGGGAGGGGGTGCACCCCTATGTACCCGTTAATTAACTCACTCTTAGGTCGCGAAATCAACATAGTGTCGCAACGATACAGAAAAAGTGTTTACCTCAGCGCTATCCATAGCGGTAAAGTCGTGGATCCTGTATCGTCGCAAATAGAGACGTAAGTTCTTCTTCGGCTGTCACAGCAGACAGGGTCCGTGATAGTGCAGTTAAACTGGCTATATACCGGGTCTGTCTGCTATTTGTAGTACCCCACAATGGAAAACGATACTTAGAAAGAGGCAGTTGGGAATGTTTTTCTTCTTTTTGTTGTCAAAATAAAGAATACCATGGTCGCCATGTATGTGCCCTTCCATCTGCTACTTCGTGAAAGATTTGAACATAACTGTTTATTGTTGCAGTAAATTTGCAAAAAACAGCCATGAATCATTTTAACGGAATGGTAAAACATAGGTTCGTCACCTGCTCCATTTGGCAGGGAATGGGGGTGAGTGAGCACAAGGAGTCCGCCCAGCTCAATGATACAACAACTTACGGAGTATACACATTTCAACACAACCACATTCCTTTATAGCTAGATGCTCGCATGCATGTCTATAAAGAGCATTTGAAAGAGAGAAGCATCGTTAAGAACGTGAGTTCCTTACACTTGTCAGAGATCATATCATTATCAGTCTATGATATATTTGGTGAATGAATCGGATTACAGCTATATTATTTCATTTATCATTTTTAAAAAAATAGCAAAGAGGGTTCGGGTTATCCTGGCAGTCTGGTTAAGCTCACTGTCAGCTCAGTGGCCTTATTTTACACCCAACCAAGACAGTGAATGGGAACCCACCAAGACCTTAGATGAATATAGAAACTCCCCAACCATGAGCATTACCGAGAGAGTCAGAAGAGCTGTGCTCCTGGTGCAGAACCTGGACAGTCCCCTGATCTGCGCCAAGAGATCAGGAAGTACCAAACCAAGGTTACCGAGATCAATGGAGAAGCTTTGTACTTGGGTTACACGCGTGACATGTTTTACGCGCGGTCCTTATATTTGGCAAGATGTTCCTGAATCTTTTCAATCACGTTAGTGTCAGACTAGAAAGAAATGGTCATGGTTAGCGGCTTGGATACATTGTCATTTTCCAAGATGCCCTCTTCATATTTTGGGTTGTACCATCAATTGACGTGACGAAGAAAATAAAGATAATATAAGATACTGTGTTTGCCCCAACATCCACTGACAAGGTGTTGGACAGTCTCATTAAATTCATTACTTAATCTACATTTCATCTTTACATTTTGATTTATATTAACACTTTAACCGTTTTAAGAGGGAGTGACTGGTACCAAGCAGCAGAAAGCTTTCTTGTCCATTTTCCTGACCATCCGACTTCATCCGAGCGGAGTAGATTTTGTTTCAGCTTACTGCACATAAACTCCACGACGCGGTCGGTCAGAGGACCTTCCCTTGAAAAACTGAGCCTGTGTGGATTTGATAATGGCACAATATACCATTATATCCTGCATCCTTTAGTACGTATAGGCCTGACCTTCCACGAGATGGACAATAACCCAAGTAAATGGACTGATTACTATTGTTTGATTTAGTTGGAAACTCTATTTTCACGAGAGGAGTGAATGAGTTGGGATCAAGCCATATTTCAAGATAGTTGTTACAAGGCAAATGCCCTAACTGACTTTTTGTAATTTGTGCTGTTCAGATGTATATTGCATGTTTCCACAAGTCATCCGTTTGTGATTTACTACACATGCATACATGCGCACAATCTGTTCCTGGATGCATTTGGAATCCGTTCTTTTACACAAGGTTCGTTTTTATGACATGTTTAAAAAATACATGTTTCGGATAAACTCCATTTAGGGTGGGGAATTGCATCTAAGTAATATCACGGCGGGGTACACCAGGCTTGCCTTCACATATGTACCACGCGGGAATAGAATCCAGGTCCTAATTGTGATGACCGAAATCTTATTGACGAAGCTCTAGCGACAACGGCGCAAAGAAGGTTATGATACAAAGTCAGTGTGAATGTTTCTTGAGAACAGATTTCATCAGATGCGATCTCAAATGTGGCACGTCTTCACAGAGAGAGGTATCGTACACAGATTCCACCCAGTGAAAGCAAGACATCGATACTGGGAGAACCCAACAATCCCCATGGTTGAGATTAAGATGTAGTGCCGCCAGTGTACAATAAAATTGATCAATGATGTTTTGCCGGTCGGTGATGGCTCTTTACTGGCTAACTTGTTTCTGAAACGCATGCCTTTGTAGAACAACATTCGTCACTGGATTTTGTTGCTTCGTCATTGGATTTTGTTGATTCACTATTGGATTTTGTTGTGTCGTCATTGGATTTTGTTGTGTCGTCATTGGATTTTGCTGCTTCGTCATTGGATTTTGTTGTGTCGTCATTGGATTTTGTTGTGTCGTCATTGGATTTTGCTGCTTCGTCATTGGATTTTGCTGCTTCGTCATTGGATTTTGTTGTGTCGTCATTGGATTTTGCTGCTTCGTCATTGGATCTTGTTGCTTCGTCATTGGATTTTGTTGTGTCGTCATTGGATTTTGCTGCTTCGTCATTGGATCTTGTTGCTTCGTCATTGGATTTTGTTGTGTCGTCATTGGATCTTGTTGTGTCGTCATTTGATTTTGTTGATTCGTCATTGCATTTTGTTGTGTCGTCATTGAAGTGTTCGGTCTTCGACTGTCAGTAAATAATGGCTTGATAATCATTTATTTTGGCGGACATACACTAATTACCAAACGGAGCCATACCAATAAAGTAATCTGGTACTATGCAAATATGTTTTTCTTCTGATAACGTTTCTCATATCCATAAACCTTCGGTTACTTTACCTTTTTGAGGGTACGGTTATATTTATAATTCTGAGTACCATCGCAAAACTTTGGGGTTTTTGGCTTGAAGGTTTTTAAGGTTCAGGTCACCTAGTGTCCTATTAGAGAGTTCTCCAATCATGTTGCAACTGTCTACGCTACCTGATAATGTCTGCACAAGAATAATGACAAACGACGTTCATCGTGAATACAGAGGAAGGCAATATGAAGCTCTTAATGAAGAAACGGCACTGTATCTTGATTGAGCACAGACAGACGACCATGGACACAGGAAACACATTTCTATTGGCTCAGATAACGGAAATGTACCTCACTGCATCACAGACGCACCGAGAGTCCTAATTACGTTACATTATACTGTAATTACCAAACACACATAGCTTTTGTAGTGTTCGTGCAAACAGAAACCTATGCAACTTCCTGAACCTCCAACCACATATTGCCAATGGTGAATAAACTTTTCAGAGCCACGAGAAACCCAAACATGCGGAGAAACCGATTTCATACCGACAGTTTTGAAAAGCATAATTTGCCATTAACACTGTCGTTTTCACTTCATCGAACATTCCGAAAAGGTGATGAAACTGATAATCAACGTCACGCATACAGAGACAGCGATAGAACTGATTAGGCAACGTCAGATAAACATGTTTTCGAACGAATCTGAAATGATTTATCGGATAGAGATGAAATGGGACAGCTTGAAATTCACGTTTTGTTTATATCAGATACACTAAGATGAGAAGACAGTAAATAACAGCACAAACTTTGTAAATATTACTTACACCTACAGACCTTTTTTGACATTTTTTTAAAATCATCTTATGTTTTTTAGCTATTTAATCATGTATGTACATTGCTATCATCTATGTATGTAAGGCACAATCGTGCTTAATGAGCATGGCACTGTGCAATCAGCTTGCATTTTCTCACCTTCCTGAGAATTAAGAATATTCAATTTTGCGCTTGTTTCTTAGTTATTAGAATTATGTGTTCATAACACCATGGCCTTTACACCAACTTTGCAAAGACGAAATTTAAAAAGAAATTTCTTTGTGTCCGCATCTGCAGATTGACAAAGTACCTTGGTTGTCGGTTCAAATCCCTTATTCAGTTCGATTCTGATTCTTGGTCTGTCAGTAGAACGTTTTCCTGATCCCCAGAAGTACCCTGCACACAGCAGTAACCTATCATCGTGGGTAGGAATCCCGGTTGGGTTGGCCCCTGTTGTCAGTAAACGTCTGAGACCTTACTTCCGGCACTCTACCTTCTTAGAACTGACAGACCGTAATTTAACTGGAACATTGTTAAGTTATATCCGTAAGTAGCGTGAACACCAACTCACCAACTCATTCTCTTCTGTCAGTGACCACCTGTGAAGGTCCGGGTTAGAATGAACCTTCAGTAACCCATGCTTGTCGTGAGAGGCGACTGACGGGATCGGGTGGTCAGGCTCGCTGGCTTGGTTGACACATGTCATCGGTTCCCAATTGCGCAAATCGATCTCATGCTGTGGATCACTGAATTGTCTGATCCAGACTCGATTATTTACAGACCGCCGCCATATAGCTGGAATATTGCTCAGTGCGGCGAAAAATCAAACTCACTCACTCACTCAGTGACCAGTGGCACGTTTGATTTGTCTCCAATAAGGAAATCCTAAGGATATATGAAATAATGATAAAAAACCCTCATACACATACCATGACGTACAGCTATATATACACAGCCACTATTTTTCCATTTTCATTATACTGCCGCTACAAAACATCTACATAAGCCAAGGTATGAACGACCGCCGTTAAAACATGCAATAAATCATTACGCTGATTTATTGCCAAGTGAGAGCACACACACAGTAAGAGATGTCCCCGAGATTGCAAAATCAATTTTGTAAACACCGCACCCTGAAAAAAACCCCGGATCGCTGCAAGGCTAACGGCGTGTTACAACCGCCACCGTCATTTGTCAGGTTTCGATTTGTAAAGCGTGCTTAATATTAAATATAACAAATCCATCTAATGCACACACAAAAAGAACGGATTATGTTTATATTGTAGAGATAGCAGTGATTTTGATGGAAACCTTGACAGAGATCGATCACTCCAGCGTTGATTACACGTTTAACATGGCAGATGGGGCGAAGGAGTAATTTGACTCCATAACATCTGTGGGTTGCACAGGTAAACACACTTGTTTGTTATACCTGTAAGATAAATATCTATCGAGCAGGAAACGTCAAAATAATAACGTTACTTTAAAAAACAGTAACAATATTTTTTTCATGGTTTGTGAAATAATTGCATTTTATGACAATTAATGTTCTTTGTGTTTGTTTGAGGATGACAGATGGTAATATACATTTTCTCTGTTTCTTTGAAAAGAGTTTTATGACATATGACTGTGCGATTGTGAACCGATTATGATATGAAAGCTCCAACTAACGTGAGTGGCATTACAACAATGTATCAAAGCGAAGATGGAATAGTTGCCATTACTGATAAATGCCCACTGTCAGTTGCTCGACACTACCATTACTATGACTACATCTATTCGGGAGTTCTTAAATACAGTTGCCAAAAGGGAACCGGGAACACAGACGTCAAGTGGAGAAAAAGGACACATAGTTGTCAAGTAGAGAAAGAGGAATCATATTTGTCAAGTAGAGAAAGAGGACACATATTTGTCAAGTAGAGAAAGAGGACACATAGTTGTCAAGTAGAGAAAGATGAAACACAGTTGCCAGGTGAAGAAAGATGAACTGCAGTTGTCAGGTGGAGAAAGAGGTTATACAGTTGTCAAGTGGAAAAAGAGGAAACACAGTTGTCAGGTGGAGAAAGAGGTTATACAGTTGTCAAGTGGAAAAAGAGGAAACACAGATGTCAAGTGGAGAAAGAGGACACACAGATGTTATGTGGAGAAAGAGGACACACTGACGTCAAGTGGAGAAAGAGGACACACAGACGTCAAGTGGAGAAAGAGGACACACAGACGTCAAGTGGAGAAAGAGGACACACAGACGTCAAGTGGAGAAAGAGGACACACAGACGTATAGTGGAGAAAGAGGACACACAGACGTCAAGTGGAGAAAGAGGAAACACAGACGTCAAGTGGAGAAAGAGGAAACACAGACGTCGGTGGAGACAGAGGACGTCAAGTGGAGAAAGAGGACACACAGACGTCAAGTGGAGAAAGAGGACACACAGACGTCAAGTGGAGAAAGAGGACACACAGACGTCAAGTGGAGAAAGAGGAAACACAGACGTCAAGTGGAGAAAGAGGACACACAGACGTCAAGTGGAGAAAGAGGACACACAGACGTCAAGTGGAGAAAGAGGAAACACAGACGTCAAGTGGAGAAAGAGGAAACACAGACGTCAAGTGGAGAAAGAGGAAACACAGACGTCAAGTGGAGAAAGAGGACACACAGACGTCAAGTGGAGAAAGAGGAAACACAGACGTCAAGTGGAGAAAGAGGACACACAGACGTCAAGTGGAGAAAGAGGACACACAGACGTCAAGTGGAGAAAGAGGACACACAGACGTCAAGTGGAGAAAGAGGAAACACAGACGTCAAGTGGAGAAAGAGGACACACAGACGTCAAGTGGAGAAAGAGGAAACACAGACGTCAAGTGGAGAAAGAGGACACACAGACGTCAAGTGGAGAAAAAGACACACAGACGTCAAGTGGAGACGTCAGACGTGGAGAAAGAGGACACACAGACGTCAAGTGGAGAAAGAGGACACACAGACGTCAAGTGGAGAAAGAGGAAACACAGACGTCAAGTGGAGAAAGAGGACACACAGACGTCAAGTGGAGAAAGAGGAAACACAGACGTCAAGTGGAGAAAGAGGACACAGACGTCAAGTGGAGAAAGAGGAAACACAGACGTCAAGTGGAGAAAGAGGACACACAGACGTCAAGTGGAGAAAGAGGAAACACAGACGTCAAGTGGAGAAAGAGGAAACACAGACGTCAAGTGGAGAAAGAGGACACACAGACGTCAAGTGGAGAAAGAGGACACACAGACGTCAAGTGGAGAAAGAGGACACACAGACGTCAAGTGGAGAAAGAGGAAACACAGACGTCAAGTGGAGAAAGAGGAAACACAGACGTCAAGTGGAGAAAGAGGAAACACAGACGTCAAGGAGAAAGAGGACACAGACGCAGGTGGAGACAGACGTCCAAGGAGAAAGACAGACGTCAAGTGGAGAAAGAGGAAACACAGACGTCAAGTGGAGAAAGAGGACACACAGACGTCAAGTGGAGAAAGAGGACACACAGACGTCAAGTGGAGAAAGAGGACAAACATACGTCAAGTGGAGAAAGAGGACACACAGACGTCAAGTGGAGAAAGAGGAAACACAGGCGTCAAGTGGAGAAAGAGGAAACACAGACGTCAAGTGGAGAAAGAGGAAACACACAGACGTCAAGTGGAGAAAGAGGACACACAGACGTCAAGTGGAGAAAGAGGACACACAGACGTCAAGTGGAGAAAGAGGACACACAGACGTCAAGTGGAGAAAGAGGAAACACAGACGTCAAGTGGAGAGAAAGAGGACAACACAGACGTCAAGTGGAGAAAGAGGACACACAGACGTCAAGTGGAGAAAGAGGAAACACAGACGTCAAGTGGAGAAAGAGGACACACAGACGTCAAGTGGAAAGAACAGACGTCAAGTGGAGAACAGAACACGGACGTCAGGTGGAGAAAGAGGAAACACAGGCGTCAAGTGGAGAAAGAGGACACACAGACGTCAAGTGGAGAAAGAGGACACAGACGTCAAGTGGAGAAAGAGGACACACAGACGTCAAGTGGAGAAAGAGGACACACAGACGTCAAGTGGAGAAAGAGGACACACAGACGTCAAGTGGAGAAAGAGGACACACACAGGCCAAGTGGAGAAAGAGGAAACACAGACGTCAGAGGTGGAGAAAGAGGAAACACAGACGTCAAGGTGGAGAAAGAGGACACACAGACGTCAAGTGGAGAGGGAAAGAGGACACAGGACGTCAAGTGGAGAAAGAGGACACAGACGTCAGGTGGAAAGAGGACACACAGACGCCATGGTGGAGAAAGAGGAACAGGACAGGACAAGTGGAGAAAAGAGGAAACACAGACAAGGTGGAGAAAGAGGACACAGTGGAGAAAGAGGACACAGAGAAAAGTGGAGAAAGAGGACACACAGAAAGGGAACACAGGAGACAGAGTGGAGAAAGAGGACACAGACAAACAGTGGAGAAAGAGGGACACACAGACGTCAGTGGAGAAAGAGGACACACAGACGATGGAGGAAAGAGGACACACAGAAACACAGTGGAGAAAGAGGACACACAGGACAAACAAGTGGAGAAAGAGACACACAGACAAAGTGGAGAAAGAGGGACACAGAGGACACAGTGGACACACGGAGGAGAAAGAGGACAGGTGGACGTCAGAGGACACACAGACGCCGGTGGAGAAACAGGTGGACAAAGAGGTGGAGAAAGAGGAAACATAGACACAGTGGAGACAGAGGACAGACACGGTGGAGAAAGAGGAACACAGACGGAGAAAGGACACAGACAAACAGGAGGAACAGACGACATGGTGGAGAAAGAGGAAACACAGACAGTGGAGGAAAGAGGACACAGACGAAGGTGGAGAAAGAAGGACACACAGAGAGGACAGGACAGACGACAAGGAGAAAGAGGACACAGAGGTGGAGGGACAGTGGAGGAAACACAGACGCCAAGTGGAGACAAGGAAACATAGAGAAACAGTGGAGAAAGAGGAAACACAGACGAGTGGAGAAAGAGGACACACAGACACACAGGTGGAGAAAGAGGAAACACAGACGTCAAGTGGAGAAAGAGGACACACAGACGCCAAGTGGACAGAAAGAGGAAACAGAGGACAAACACAGTGAGAAAGAGGACACACAGACGTCAAGTGGAGAAAGAGGAAACACAGACGTCAAGTGGAGAAAGAGGAAACACAGACGTCAGTGGGAAAGAGGAAACACAGACGTCAAGTGGAGAAAGAGGAAACACAGACGTCAAGTGGAGAAAGAGGACACAGACGTCAGGAGAAAGAGGACACACAGGACGTCAAGTGGAGAAAGAGGACACACAGATCAAGGAGAAAGAGGACACACAGAAAGAGAAAGAAACACAGACGTCACAGTGGAGAAAGAGGAAACACAGAGGAACAGAGTGGAGAAAGAGGAAACACAGACGCCAAGTGGAGAAAGAGGAACACACAGACACAGTGGAGAAAGAGGACAGACACACAGAGGAAAGAGGAACACAGACGCCAGTGGAGAAAGAGGACACACAGACGCCAGTGGAGAAAGAGGAAACACAGACAGAAAGTGGAGAAAGAGGACAAACACAGACGTCAGTGGAGAAAGAGGACACACAGACGTCAAGTGGAGAAAGAGGACACACAGACGTCAGTGGAGAAAGAGGAAACACAGGAAAAGGGACACACAGAGGAGGAAAGAGGGACACACAGTGGACACACAGAGGACAAGTGGAGAAAGAGGAACACAGACGTCAAGTGGAGAAAGAGGACACACAGACACAGTGGAGAAAGAGGACACACAGACGTCAAGTGGAGAAAGAGGACATACACAGACGTCGGGTGGTGGAGGAAAGAGGGACACAGACGACGGGTGGAGAAAGAGGACACACAGACGTCAAGTGGAGAAAGAGGACACAGACAAGTGGAGAAAGAGGACACACAGACGTGGTGGAGAAAGAGGAACACAGACGTCACAGTGGAGAAAGAGGACACACAGACGTCAAGTGGAGAAAGAGGAAACACAGACAAATGGGTGGAGTGGAGAAAGAGGAGACAGACGTCAGTGGAGAAAGAGGAAACACAGACGTCAAGTGGAGAAAGAGGAACACAGTGGAGAAAGAGGAAACAAGTGGAGAAAGAGGACACAGACACAGTGGAGAAAGAGGACACAATAGGAGTCGGGGTGGAGGAAAGAGGACAGACGTCAAGTGGAGAAAGAGGACAACAGGTGGAGAAAGAGGAAACACAGGACAAAGAGGAAGAGGACAGACGTCACAGTGGAGAAAGAGGACACAGACGTCGGTGGAGGAGAGGACACACAGATGGAGAAAGAGGAAACACAGACGTCAAGTGGACACACAGAGGACACACAGAGGAAACACAGACGTCAAGTGGAGAAAGAGGACAACACACAGGTGGAGAAAGAGGACACAGAGGAAACACAGGCCAAGTGGAGAAAGAGGAAACACAGACGTCGGTGGAGGAAACACAGAAAGTGGAGAAAGAGGACACACAGACAGTGGAGAAAGAGGAAACACAGGCGTCAGAAAGAGGGTGGAAGAAAGAGGAGACACAGACGTCAAGTGGAGAAAGAGGAAACACAGACGTCAAAGTGGAGAAAGAGGAAACACAGACGTCAAGTGAGAAAGAGGAGGGACACAGACGTCAGCCAAGTGGAGAAAGAGGACACACAGACGTCAGTGGAGTGGAGAAAGAGGAAACACAGACGTCAAGTGGAAAGAGGACACACAGACGTCAAGTGGAGAAAGGAGGTCAAGTGGAGAAAGAGGGACACAGACGTCAAAGTGGAGAAAGAGAGGACACAGACGTCAAGTGGAGAAAAGAGGAAACACAGACAGTGGAGAAAGAGGACACACAGACGTCAAGTGGAGAAAGAGGAAACACAGACGTCAGAGTGGAGAGGAAAGAGGAGACAGAGGAAACACAGTGGAGAAAGAGGACACACAGACGTCAAGTGGAGAAAGAGGAAACACAGACGTCAAGTGGAGAAAAGAGGACACAGACGTGGAGTGGAGAAAGAGGAACACAGACGTCAAGTGGAGAAAGAGGAAACACAGACGTCAAGTGGAGAAAGAGGACACACAGACGTCAAGTGGAGAAAGAGGAAACACAGACGTCAAGTGGAGAAAGAGGACACAGACGTCAAGTGGAGAAAGAGGAAACACAGACGTCAAGTGGAGAAAGAGGACACACACAGACGTCGGAGTGGAGAAAGAGGACACAGACGTCAAGGTGGAGAAAGAGGAAACACAGACGTCAAGTGGAGAAAGAGGAAACACAGACGTCAAGTGGAGAAAGAGGACACACAGACGTCAAGTGGAGAAAGAGGAAACACAGACGTCAAGTGGAGAAAGAGGACACACAGACGTCAGAGTGGAGAAAGAGGAAACACAGACGTCAAGTGGAGAAAGAGGACACACAAGTGGAGACGACACAGACGTGGAGAAAGAGGACACACAGACGTCAGGTGGAGAAAGAGGAAACACAGACGTCAAGTGGAGAAAGAGGGACACACAGACGTCAGTGGAGAAAGAGGACACACAGACGTCAAGTGGAGAAAGAGGAACACAGACGTCAAGTGGAGAAAGAGGAAACACAGACGTCAAGTGGAGAAAGAGGACACAGGTCAAGTGGAGAAAGAGGAAACACAGACGTCAAGTGGAGAAAGAGGACACACAGGCGTCAAGTGGAGAAAGAGGAAACACAGACGTCAAGTGGAGAAAGAGGACACACAGACGTCAAGTGGAGAAAGAGGAAACACAGACGTCAAGTGGAGAAAGAGGAAACACAGACGTCAAGTGGAGAAAGAGGAAACACAGACGTCAAGGGAGTGGAGAGAGGACACACAGACGTCAAGTGGAGAAAGAGGACACACAGACGTCAAGTGGAGAAAGAGGACACACAGACGTCAAGTGGAGAAAAGAGGACACAGACGTCAAGATGGAGTGGAGAAACACAGACGTCAATGTGTGGAGAAAGAGGACACACAAACGTCAAGTGGAGAAAGAGGAAACACAGAGGTCAACGGAGAAAGAGGACACAGACGTCAAGTGGAGAAAGAGGACACAGACGTCAAGTGGAGAGAACACAGGGAGGTGGACACGTCAAGTGGAGAAAGAGGAAACACAGACGTCAAGTGGAGAAAGAGGAGGACACAGACGTCAAGTGGAGAAAGAGGAAACACAGACGTCAAGTGGAGAAATAGGAGACACAGATGTTATGTGGAGAAAGAGGACACACAGAGGTCAAGTGGAGAAAGAGGAAACACAGACGTCAAGTGGAGAAAGAGGAAACACAGACGTCAAGTGGAGAAAGAGGAAACACAGACGTCAAGCGGAGAAAGAGGACACAGACGTCATGTGGAGAAAGAGGACACACATACGTCAAGTGGAGAAAGAGGACACAGACGTCAAGTGGAGAAAGAGGACACACAGACGTCAAGTGGAGAAAGAGGACACACAAACGTATAGTGGAGAAAGAGGACACACAAACGTATAGTGGAGTATAGAAAACACAACAGATGTCAAGTGGAATAGAGAAAGCCCATATGTCCAGTAAAGAAAGAGAACACAGACGTATTGTGGAAACAGAGAAAACACAGGCGTCAAATGGTGAAAGTGGAAACACATATGTCAAGTGGTGAAAGTGGAAACACAGATGTCAAGTGGAGAAAACAATATCGGTGAAACAAGTGTTAGGTGGAATACAGGAAACATAGGTCAAAAGGAAATAGAGGAAACACAGATGTCAAGTGAAAACGATCACATCAATGTCGAATGGAATAAAAGAGACACTTACGGTTCAGATGATACTTGAATACTCAGCGGTGCTGATGTTGGATGTTAGCTAGCATCTCGTGCCACAACTCCTCTGAACGCATGATCTCACCAAATCTGGACAGTCAGCAGTAAATAGCTACACGTACAACGCCGTATCGACCGCGGCACCAACGCACCCATCTCCACAAAGTGCTTTAATTGAGATGTCCCAACACCAGCATCACATGCTCGCTGACAGACGCGGGAAGCAGGTTCTCGTTTCACACTCCGTTAAACACAAAAGGAAGGTGTAGGTGACCTCTTGCCGTGAACAATACATCTATCTCAGCGGAATTTGTAACCAGTTTCACCTTATTGTAATGTGAAGCCTAATGTTTACGTTGCCACGTGGGTTGGAAAATGTTGAGGTAGGTGTCTCGTGCCCTTTGTTGTCACGTTGACCCCAACGCTGTCTCTACTTAGTAACCGACAAACAAACATGTTCGTAGTTAATCATTTTAATCATTCATAATCAGAGACCTGAAACATCAATATTGACCGACAATAGCGTTGGTTTCAATGAAACGTAGGACATGACACATTTTTCATCATACACGTCCTTGACATATAGCATCAGTACCCTCCATAATCTCATCCCCTTTTCAAACGAACCATCACACGTTGTCAATTTTAATGAGCCTGTGTGTCATGTTTCTATATCTCGTTCAAGGCCTGTGAGTATATAATACGTCTTTACTGTAACTGATATATTATAAACCCTTAGCAGAGTGTCTGACATATCCAAAGGTAATATCTGTTTTATTACTTGTAATTTCCTCTTAATTTTAATCTGAAAACGCTTATGATTTAGAAACTAGGATGTGGGATTATGTGTGACGCGTAGATAGACCCCCCTCCAAAAAAATAAAATAAATTAAACAAATTAAAATAAATAAAAACAACAACCAAAAAACAAAGAAACAAAAACAAAACAAAAATAAACAAAACAGAAACAAAAACAAAACAAACTGACCCCAACAAAACAATACAACAACAAAAGACAACAGCAAAAAAACAAAAACATATAGGAAAAAAATGTTTATAAAAAAACAATTAACATGCATATGAGTCCCACATTCAGCTGTCAACACACAAAATCAGATGTATTACCTGTCATACAACACACTCGATATGGGTGTGCAACTTGCATATCCCTTGCCCTTAGTTTAACATGAATACCTCGTCTCAGACATAGAATACTGACGACAAGGAAAGCAAAACTTGTTTCATCAACAATAAGTATCATCTTTTGGTACGACGTGGCCGAGATCGAAACCCTATCTCTTGCTCCTTTTTTGGGAAGTCTTACATCAGAATCCATGGTTCCATGATAAGTAATCCAGGTACATCCATATATTTCAGATTACCTTGAATTCAAATCTCAGACACCTTCCCAATAAGATCGATATTAAATACCAGTATTATACGAAATACCATTAGGCGTAATGCGCATGTTTCTACACACGAATGTGTTTGTGTTGAATCTATACAACTTCATCTCAATAAAGGCACAGCAATGTCGGCTTTCGAAGAAGCGAACCAGATTGCTATTTGGATGTTAGTGGAATCAAGAACGCAGGGAAACATGAAATTGTGTTCATCAATAAAGATCTCAAAGAAATCTCCACATCCAACAAGAGTCCTACAAGAAGAATCCTTAGAGACTTGAGAGTAATTGATAATGAAATCACTAGATTTAGACTTCGTCTTTTTATGACACCATTAGTTCAACAAACAAGTAATAAATTAGGCAGCGATTACTCGTGGGTGACCTGATTTGTTTCGCAGCTCTTTTACGGAATTTATGAGCTCTACTGGTTTTATGTTCGACGGTGTGGGCCAAGGGAATGACAAAAAACCCTTCCCAGCAAGCAAATTTCTTAGGGTGATTTTGACCGTTTCTAAATATTGAAGAGCAAATTCCTTAGTAAAATGTGTTGTCAATAAATGTCACTGACCGAATGAAGAATTCAGGGCCGCACTTTTGCATGAGTACATCTTGGAACCATTTGTTCTATCGAAGCTGCATAGTTACTATACTGGATTATTTGCCTTCCATTCATAATTGTTCACTATCATCTTAAGAACACATTTTCTTCTTGCTTGTCATATATTTTCGAGGTACATCATCAGGGACTGGAGCTAGGTAATTAGCCCAGGCTCACCTACTTACTATTCCAATAAAGGCTGAAAACACCAGTGGCTAACATTGTCTGAGTTTATTGTATTAAATCCTTCTATATATCTTCAGCTACACGTATTTTAACCTGACAACGATTACGTCAGATGTAACATCTTCATCTACAACATCTGCACTTCCACGATTGTGAGACATCTCTGATCAGACAGAGGGGTTCGTCTTCAGGAGGCAGGCATAGGAGCCAGATGGACCTTCAGACGTGTTGAACTATGACCAATGATGTGCTGGAGAACTGTTGGGGAAAACTGCCTGTTTCCCGACAGCTGCTTAAGGCCGGGGAAGAGTAATGATGTTGACGAAATCTCTCACAGTGTTAGCATACACATGTTGCAAGGCATATTTTGTGATGAAATCCTGCAACCACTCGGTGCTCGTATTATGGATTTGAAGACATCTTTTAACGACTCACAGCTGGAACCTAAGGCACGTCAACATACAACATACAGCACACGTAGAAGAGACTCTGCACATTGTTCTCTAAATCACCGGACTTAATCAGAACATCAAAAGGGAGAGTTCGGTCGTCATGTCTGACGGCGTGACCACGAAGCACAGACAACTGCATGAGGTTTCACTATCATTCTTTGGAATGGTGGACCTTGATCTTTGTCATTTTTCTGTATATTTTGTATTTAACAGGGGCGGTGGGGGTAGCCTAGTGGTTAAAGCGTTAGCTCATCACTCCGAAGGCCCGGGTTCGATTCCCCAAATGGGTACAATGTGTGAAGCCCATTTCTGGTTCCCTCGCCGTGATATTGCTGGAATATTGCTAAAAACGGCGTAAAACCACTGTATCCAACAACTGACATATCTGTAATATGCCATCAGTCAGCGCATGTGCAATACATGTGTGGTACATTTAATACAAAACTAAGGCTGAAATATTGCCGATGTGACATTAAATGTTAACAGAAGCTTTGAGGAAAATAAAAAAATATATACCACTTCTATTCTCAATCAGGACTGAATGCACCTGATCGTGAACAAAACGAATTCATTGATGTATGTCAACTTGAAAGGATCCCAGCTGGATAGACCATGATGTCAAGGCTGGACTATTTTTAGAACCCCATCATACAGCTGGAATATGGCGTCAAGCAACAAAAAAGCCAGACAATAAGCAGAAAAACAAGCAAACAAACCTATTACCAATGGTTCAAGGTGAGAAAAGTGCACAACCGGAAACGCTCGTAAAATATTCACCATAAGCAAAGAAAAGAAAGCACTTTGGGATTCAATCTCACACAAACTGTTTACAGGAGTTAATGCATTTTCGCGAATAACTATCTTGATAGATATGGGAGACTTATTATTTTGTTTACTTCTCATGAAAATATATATGTGGTGAGTAGGAAATAGTGTGTGGCTGATAGCAAAGGTTTCCTGGCAAAAATGGATGCTTTTAGGCTACATGAAAGTTATAGCAGTCATAATTAATCAAGTGTCTACGTCTTCCGCTAGTGGAAATGCTAGTTATTGTAATGAATCATCAACGTCAATCGGATATATAATCCTAGTACTACGTCATTTAGTTGAATATGATGGGAACTCTCAGTTTTGAAACTTGTCCAAATTACCGTTTTGGCAGGCACTCTCCCAATTTCAAATTGGCAAGAACAGTATTAAGAGATATCGAAACTCCTAGGTGCAGCACGGGCGTCAATAAAAACAGATGCTCGTTTTGCGTTATTCTATGTTTCGAAAACAAGTCGCTCGTGGAAGCGAAATCACAGACAGTGTCAGTATAATTTGATGCAAACTGTGACATCGATTCCTGAAAAAAACGGAACTACTTTCCCTTAATATCTTTTACATAAATCTCAAGGTTTAATTTGCAAAATTAGACGGTCAACATGGCACCAAACAATATTCAAGAAAGCAACGACCACCTGAATTAAAGAAGAAATCTCCAGAAAGCCGTTCTCATCCGAAACGGATTAACTGCAACCCTTGCTTGAAGAGTCTCGGTCCGGATTTTTTTTATAGTGGAGCGAATGGAATGTGCTATTCAAATACGTCTCCACTTCCAATGGTTGTCGGATAAAATCGAAAGTAAACACATTCGTCTATAAATCTATGTCCCATCTCCAAAAACCTTGTTACCAGCAAATATTTGCCATGGCCGACAGAAGGTTTGGGGTGAGAACTAACACTCATTCGTATGATCACTATTATGTCTTTCAATGGAGCTCCGAGGGATTGGTATGTACATTTAGGTCTGCTGAGTACGGTGATCAGTCATATGGGCGATGGTGCGTCAATGCCATCACATACAGAACTCCCCGTAGAACCTCTTTTGTATGACATGGCCTACACAATCAATGGCCTTGTATGGTATCAAAGGCGGGGAGTTTTTGGGGTGATATGCTGTGATGCTATTTCTGGAATTGGTGGGGCAGTGGGGGAGTCTTGTGGTTAAAGCGTTCGCTCGTCACACCGAAGACCCGGGTTCGATTCCCCACATTGGCACAATGTGTAAAGCCCATTGCAGGTGTCCCCCGCCGTGATGCTGGACTATTGCTAAAAGCGGCGTAAAACTAAACTCACTCACTCACTCACTCACTCACTCACTGGAATTGGTAGTGTTATGGCTTATTCGGTGCTTTCACTTAATAGTAGTTTTATTGTAGACCATTGTTGTAATTTATGTATTATAGACAGCTGTGTGCCCACGTCTCTACCATCATGAAAATGTCTGTCCTTCAGATACTTTAGCCCGAAAATATAGTTTCAGGAGTCAGTTGTGAGAGGGTTTGATGCAACTGTAAACCAGAACACATTATCTGTTCATTGTTAAGTATCATTCATTTTAGTGACATCTGGTCATCTTAATACTGAGGATTAGAGTGTCCTGAACTCATTATACAGTTCATTATGCTGATATCAGTCCATCAATATCTACCAAATAAATCTACTACTGATAAACAAACTGTGTTGATCCAATGTAAAATGTCGGTTAAAAAGCATACACTTCAAACCTGGATTTGACCAAACCAGAACGTGATCTATGACAACCGCATCAATACATCACCATCGAATAACCGTTTTCAGCCACCAGCACC